ATTCCAGCAAGAGAACTCTTTAACATTTAATGTGCTCTGTAGTATATGTTTCATTGTTGGTTTGTGGTTAAGCACTGTTAACAGTGTCATGGTGGGAGCACAGAGTAGAGGTCATCATGGATAGCTGTCAACTTTCTCGCGAATCCCTTCACATCTTTGCATTCACTTTGCATGTAATGGCGCCGCCCCAAACCCTTGCTTTGTGTTTGGTCTGAATGCACATGAATGTTAGAGGTCACTACACCAATTGACTTAAAGTGCATCAAACTCGCTTTCATCTTATAACTGCTCAAAAAAATGGAAATTCAAGAAAAGAGTATCATTGTAGAATCAAGTGGCTGGCAGGACACACCAAATGAAAATCTGATGAGAATAATTTTAATGCAAATTGGTGCACGATACAGTACATATGTGCATAGTACAACTTCACACATACATGGCTTTCTGGCATGCATCTCTGCATGTTTATATTATGTATTCACACAGTGGCTATGTTCCACTGCAAATACTGTAAGTATTTAGTACATACAGGCGGCTGTTATGTATAGATTTGTATGCGTAGACTAATCTAGGCATGTTTTAAAAATGAAATACAGTATGGGTTTGTGTGTGTTAATGTATATTTATTTATTTTTGGTCCTGTATATCTTTTTAATGGTATGTTAAACCACGTCTTTCAATTTATATTTTTTCTTGTGTATCTAATTGAAGAATATTTAGGTTGGCTTAATAAAGCTAGTGTCAGACCCAAAAAGTCTTCAGTGTCAGTACAAGGAGCACAGAAAGAGAACATCATTGCACAAATGACTGATGAACTTTTAAATACAGAAAACTACCTTACTACTACAAGTACATGAGGACGAACAATTGTGAAACAGTATATGAGTATTACAAAATTCTTTCTATGCATTGAGAAATGCAGCAGTTTGACTGTATACATATATATCTACCTTGCGGACTTTGATCATTGGACCTCTCATTCTGGATTTCTCCACCAAAACAGGCAGAAACAAAGCAGAGAGCAGAGTGAGAGCATAGCTCTGGATCTAAAGCAGCCATGTCCACCAGTTCAGACAAACCACCCAACCCTCCTACTGTAATTATGCCTCTCTCTAAGATTACCCATTTTCTCTTGAACTTTACATCTGTGCTGTGAAGATTTATTTTGCTTTATTTTATAAGTGTTCTCTGCTGCAGCTACATGTATGTAAAATATATTTGCCTCTGTGTGTGGTTACAGTGGTCATTTTGAAGCTGGAAGATCTGGATTAAATTCTAGTCAGATTCATTGGAGAATTTGCTGTATTTACCACCAGATAATATTTAATACAGTTTTATTTATATAGCACATTCATATTCATGACAGAAAATATCTCATTGCACTCTTCACATAGAGCAGGTGCTCTGCTTGATGTAATATTACACACAGAACAAAGGAGTGAACATCTCAGTTTGTGCCACACATTCCCCTCTGTCAGAGTGTGTGTGTGCATATTTGCATGTAGAGGAATTGTCCTTCACTGAATCCTCATAAACAAAAGCGTGTGAAGTCAGAGTATCTGCATCTTTTATGAGGCTACTGATTTATTCTAAGAATGCGACATGCAGAATATTTTCTTTGGTGGATTTGCAGGTCAGTGAATCTGAAAGCATACAGCTGTCCTCAGGCCAAAGTTCTCTGATGAGACATAAGAAACCAGGCTGAACAGAAACTTGAAACAGCTGTCTGGTGGCTCATGTTGCATGCTGGGAAAGCTGCTCTGTGTATTGAGCTTGCTAAAGCTTAAGAATCAAGTCAAGACAGTCAGTTCAAGGTACTTCAGAGCCAATCCACCACAGTTGTGAGATACTGGTGTTTCCAATGCCACAAATGCATGTGTGTGCACAATGAATGATACAAAGAGGAGGTAACATACTTTAGCAACCTTTGAAAGGAAAATTAACGTTGGTAAGATAGAGCCAATACGTTCTCTGGTTACGTGGTTAGCTGCAGTTAGAGAATGGGAGGTTCACACACGTTCATTGTCAATTCACATTTGTAACATTGTGCCAGTAAATTCGATGACTGCAAACTACACGTGCATCCATACTCCACAGTACAACCGTTCTGTCAGAGGTAGTTTTAGGCCACATCTGCACTATTACATTTTAGTTTACATATAGAGTTTGAAAACAAAACGATCTCCATCCACACCAGCATTTTAGCTGGGTATCAGAATTGATCTACTGGCCGTTCACGTACACTAGGCATGCGCGTGCCGGTGTAAACATGAAGCAGTTGCAGTAGATTTGGCGAAAGAAAAAAGTAATATTAGAGACGAAGAACCACACCAGATATTTGATTTTTGCATGAACCGAGTCCAAAGCAACATACACAGTAGTGTGTAAGTGTTATTTACACAGTACAAAATATTTTAATAAAAATACCAAAACTAAAACTCTGTCAGTAGCTTTGTTTCTTTGCTTTGCATGACTGATAAGACACAGTCAGGAAGCCAAACGTGAGTGTCTGCGTCCTCCGTTTTCTCTCGTCCGCATTAAAACGCCACCCCGGAGTTTTAAAATAAAAACGGGCTTGGCAGCGTTTTCGAGTCACTGTTTTAGTCTGGACGGGAGGTGCAAATGTAGCGAAAGGTCTGTGTTTTAAAAGGAAAACCAGGGATGGGGCCTCAGTCGAAGCAACCTTTCTGTTGGTCATGTGAAGTTCACCAACGCTGATCTCATCATTAGATCCAAACATGAATCCACACGTTATTACTATTACTAGACCGTACACACACACACACACACACACACACACACACACAGATCACTTAGCGTGAGTGTCTAGGGTGTACACAGACAGGCTGGGGATGGCGTGTGTGTGTGTGTGTGTATGTGTGTGTGTGTGTGTGTGTGTGTGTGCGTGTGTGCGTGTGTGCGTGTGCGTGGGTGAATTCGTGCATGTGTGTCTGCAGGACACATCTGGCTCTTAGCCAAGTGTCGGGCAATACTGATGAAAGCTTTCTGACAATGAGGAGAGGGGTGTTTACGTGTGACAGACTAAGAATTAGAGAAAATGATGTAAAACAAATACTGTTTCTCAGATTTTAAGGAATTTGTTCTTATTATTGTACAGCTAGTGATAAAATTATCCCTCTGGAGAAAAAAAGTTAGAATTTCCCCTCCTGTGGAAAGGAACGGAGAGAACGTGTTAGGAGACAGAGGGGGGTGAGGAGGCTGAGGCAGATTATTACAGACAGGTTGTCTAATAGATGGTATTATCATTTGTCTCTGTCTGTCTCCCGCTTGGCGTACCTCTGACAGCTGGGGAGCTGAGCAAATATTATCAGAGAGCTTCCATTAATCAGGGCTGGAGCTGAGTGGGATTAAATAATGATTTGACTTACAAACACAGACAGAGCGATACGGGATGTTAGGTCTGATACTGATGATGGGTATTTGGAATTAAACATTTAGATAACGATTTTCCCCGCAGATACGCTGTATATTATAGAATACACTATAACATTCTGTATTATTCTGTTTTGTTATGTATTTACATTTATGTAGCTCACATGATGACATTTATCTTTAAAGGTTTTTTTGGACCTTTGCTTGATTTCGGTTCTAATACATAGCATGGAACAGTGCAGCACATCATTTATAGCATACTGTAAGCTAGTGTTTGTTTTGTTATGTTTTTTGGATTTTTATTTTTATTATACCTGATTTTACCAGGCAAGTTAATTATGAACAGATTCTTATTTACAATAACGACCAGGCAGGAGACAGGGGTCTCCTGTAGGGAATGGGTACTAGGATTAAATAAACAACAGACAGAAGACGCTGGACAACAACAAACCTTAAAAACCAGACACAAAGAAGCCAAAGAAACCAAATGAAAGAATAATAAAACACAGACAACAAGAAAACATTACAACAGACTTATACGATAATCTACAGACAGTAGACAATACAACAAATGGCACTATAGTTAAATGAAATGATCATGACAACACTGAGCTACATAGAATGTCTGACAATACATCCTATATCCAACTTTTCAGGAATTATCTTGTTCTCTTTCTCTTATCCAGAGTTATCACTTTCATCTTTCTTCAGTTCAGAGATGGATAAGGACGTAGTTAGGCTACACTAGCTTACCCTGAAGAGCAGGGGAACCAGGGATGACCAAATGAGTGTCCACTCCAGAGTGAATGACTGACTGATTTTGGTGGCAGTGTTGGTGGTTAGCGTGCTGGCTAATAAGAAACGATATTCCATTGTTGGGCATAAGGCCTGGTTACACTTTCACAGCATTTCTGCAGCTGACGCGGGTAATATTTGGTTTAACCAGGACATGAAGATATCATGGAAAGCAAAAGGAGAGAAGAGAGGATGATGAAAGGATACTCAGAGTGTGTGCTGTGATAACAAACTTTGTTGTGTGTGTTGTATACCATAGCTGTTGTGGTTTCCCAGGCTTGCTGGTTGACTCTGCACTCAAACCATATAATACACAGTTTAAACAGGCACACAATAGAACAGCCTGGTTCCCACGACAACTATGACAGGACCCCTGCTCTGTTTTTATTGCCTATGTGTGTCTGTGTGTCAGCAGCATGTTGTAATGAGACTGAACAACCTTAAGTCTGTGTTCATTCAGTGTGAAGAAGCGGTACATTCTCATTCAGAGGTGAGGAAGCCTTTTAGGTTTTTAACTTTAGAGTCTGATGAAAGAGACTCGGTGCTGCATTGACCTTTGCAGGTTGCCATAGTCACATAAACACAGGCTAAATGGCTTTTTTAGACAAAGGGACCATATGGAATAAGATAGGAGTTTAATCTTTGTTTGTACTATAACGTTCTGTTCATAAACATAAAGCTTTTCTCTGTCTGTTGATCAAATATTTCTAGTAGGGTTGATATCGTTCCTCTTACCGTCAGACTAATGTGTGCAGTGTGACTACATATCTTTGTGTTAGTCCTGAATCACAGCTGCCTGTTTCTCTGTCCAGGTGGTAGTTCCTACTCGGGTTGGACAGGTGTATGTGTATGACACAGTGAAACCAGACCAGGACGAGTACGACGTCCCACCCAGACATCAGCCTCCGACCCAGCAGGACATCTACGACGTGCCACCCACCCGCCAGCAGTACAACACACAGGTCAGACTGCTGTGTGTGTGTGTGTGTGTGTGTGTGAGTGTGTGAGTGTGTGTGTGTGTGTGTGTGTGGACTGGATTTGTTCCAGTCTGTGTATCCATCTGACCTGATGGATAAGATTCAGTTTGATTCGTTGGCATAGAAAAATTGGATTAATGTTGCTTTCATATTATTTCACCATTGTACGTTTTCACAGCAGTGTTATATGTAAAAGTCTGATTTGCAAAAAACAACATGCATATCTAAATTCTTAACTTTTAAACCCAAAGATAAGTAGTGAAAAACATTCAATCACATGCTCAGTCCAATACAGACGCCTCATTTAAAGTTCAAATCAGTTCATCAATTCAAAATGCCTTTGTAACTGCCAGACATTTCCCATGTGTTTACTGTCAAACAGTTTTGAAATTGCAGTTTATTATTTTGTGCTTTCCCAAAAGGATTGGCTTGTTGTATTTTCAGTGATTGAACTTACATTGATTGAAATACACCACTAGTGTTTGGTATTTGAATAGAACCAGAAATGTTGTTGTATATAAACAGAATATTAAACCTAAACTGAAGCAGTGAAATAATCAGCATCCTTTTGTATCGGATAAATGTAGGATTGTTGGTGGTTGGTGGGTCGGATTCAGCCCTGTGCGCACTCCCGAGCCTCTCTCTGACTACAGCGACAACACGGCAGCTAACGACATGCAGTCCACTAGCACTATAAAACAACCGGCTCACAGCAAAACACAGGCTCCACGTAAGGATACAAAACAACAATAAAGGTGCTGAAGCCCATCAGACCAAACAGGCTCAGGTGAAGTCGAGTAAGAACACAGTGAGCATTAGTAAAGCTGGAGACACACAGAGAAAGTCACATTAGCTCGCAGGCTAACGCCGAGCAGTTGCTAATGTTATCCGGTGCAAAGTTATGCGTGCGTGCACGAGTGCATTAATATTAACTACCAGCTATATACAGCATGCTAGCCTCATTAACTTAGCTCTCCTTATTAGCTAGGCTCCTTACATGCCTGCTAATAACTTTTTTTAAGCTGGGTCTCCGACATTGACAGCGTGCAGCTGTGTTCCATGAGGGAGAGAGAGAGAGGTACGGGTGAGTGAGAGAGACAAGCGAGAGGAAGAGCTGCGCAAATGCGCTACGGCGCTCTGCAATCAAATAAGATTTTAAATAGGCTTAGTAAAAAAAAATCGAAAACCAGTGTGGCGGTCAGCGTTGATTGTGGCGGGCCGCCACAAAAAATTAACGTATGGGAAACACTGAAATGTGGAATGTTGTTTACTAACGTAAAGGAGCAGCTAGCTAATGCTACAGTAGATCCGACCTGCCGCTGTTTGCTTCGTAACGTTCAGTTTAGGTTTATTGTGGTTTTACTGATACGCAGGTACACAGCTTCTCCACCTCGCTGTAACTAACATGACCCACATAACATAAAACACTGCAACATAACGGTCACAACAACACAGAGGAAGAGCCATCCTATATCACTAGTTACAGTAAAGTTACTTGCTGCGGTCTGAATGTTATAAAGTGTGACACAATCTCGTTATAATATTCAGTCCAGCTCACTAACCGTTTCATCAACCAATACATGTAGCTGTGCTGACATTGCTGAGCCTCCAGTGAAAGATTCACAGATAGTAAAGATAGTTACTGAGAAGCAGCAGGCGAGCTAACGCTGTAGCACGTCGGCTAAATGCAGTAAATGTACTGTGATCATGTAACGAGCATGGATTAGTTCAACCTGCAGCCGATAAAACTATTACTGTAACGTTGCAGTGGGAGTATACCTGAGTTTCCAGCTCTGTCTGTTCTCCCTGTCTGTCTATAGCCGCTGTCACTCTGCCTTTTTTCTGGGAGGATTGTACCGATATGCGGCTCGCTGCGCTGAATGAAGTAACGTTAAAGAGCCGGTGTTGATCTGCCTTTGAGACGGGAACATCGAAGTAACAGAGCCTGAACATGTCTGGAGAAAAGCCACAGCCTGCATGCTGGTGTTCCTGTGTTTATTGTGGTGTTTCTGTATGAAAGTGGTTGTGTTTCGGGTTATGCTCGATCATGAGTTCAAGCGAGCACGCGTACGAGCAGACGCCTGGTTGCAATCTTAAAACCGCACCGCTAGTAGCCGCTGGAAACTCCATAATGCCCCTTTGATAAGCAGTCACTTAGAGCACACACACACGGGCAAAATGTACAATGAAGATAAAGCCAAAAGAGAAAGTTAACGCATACAACCATAGCGAAATGATAACTAGGGTTGCAAGAGGAGGAGAAAAGGATGAGAAGCACAGAAAGGAAAGAAAAATGAAGTATAGGAAGATAAGGAAGAGCAGGAGGAAGATGTGTTTCTGTAATAACGTTACAGAAGCTGCTGGGTGTTTTTGAAGTCAGCAATCTGAAAGGTGAAGAATGAGCACAGCACAACACAAGGCACTTTATCAAAATGTCTGCTGTGTGGGAGACGGCTCTGACCATAACAAGTAATCACACACAATACAGCTGTAGTGTACAGCGAGCTGGCTCAGAACACAGAGAGACTTAATTCTCCACAACTGTCTGCGACCATGTCAGAAAACATGATGCTTTTCACCAGATTCTGTCCAGCAGGTGTAATGGTGTAGGGGCTGTCCTTGGCCATGTACTCGTCACATTAATGCCTTTACCTTCTTATTGTCACAGCAGGCTTAGCCATTTGAATACAAATCTTTTATCACAGTATTAATTCTATATCTTTCTAGTTTTTAGATACAATAACCAGATGAGAATGTATGTTTTTGGTTGAAGAGTAACTAAAAATTAAATTCCGCCTGTTAAGAAATCAGTATTGTAACGATTTATAGCTTAAAAGGCATTGGATTGTTTATAGGAAAAGATTCATACACTGATGGAACAGCCATCGGGGGCAATTCGGGGTTCACTATCTTGCCCATGCACACTTCGACATGCAGCCTGGAGGAGCTGGGGATTGCACTGCCGATCTTCTGATTAGTGGGCAACCCGCTCTTCCTCCTGAGCCACAGCCCCCAGAACTGCAGTGCTGGAGGAGGCAAGAAGGCAAGAGAGTGCAGTTTGGGCTTCCTCTGTCTTCTCTCCCAGGAAGTCAAACTGTGTCAGATGTTGTCGAGCAAAACGTCACCAACTCTGTCTAGTGTTTGAGTTTTTCCTAAAGAATTAATAAAATTTATTACATGACAAATGCTTCAATGTTTGAAAGGCTGGCCTTCTCAGTTTCTGCAAGATGGCAAACATTTATGAAAAACAGGATATTCACCTCTTAGTAATAAGTAGGCTAAGTCAGTGACAGGTGTTAACCCAGGTTGAAATAGTAAGTTTGTGTGTGTGTGTGTAGATTTATATACATATAACAAATTAAATTGTCATTATACAGTGAATTACAGGAATGTTTCTTTTTGAGGAGGAGGAGTGACAGGCACCTGGGGACTCTAAGATTTGGCATTGACATGACACATGTCAAACTTAAATTTTGTCTTGTTCCAAGCTATATTTATATATATATTTACACTACATACTAATATGAATGTTGTACTTTATTATCTGCTCAAAGAGTCTAAACACTTTGCATCTTTTCCAGATTAAATGTATAAAACTCTGAATTGCAAAGTTAGTTTTTTTGGTCCCTGTGAGTCCTTGATGAAGTCCACATTATGGACTATTGGTGGGTTAGTGAGGGTAATAAATTGACATGGCTGCGCTCCATTGACTCTAATGTAAAAGGAGTCGTTTTCTAGCTTTCTTTTGCCGTATTTTCCTCAAACGCTGTTCCTGGGGCATCTTGTAATATTTACAGTCGCTACCCAGAGAGGTTGAAAGGAGAAGTACGATTTATTCTCTTTCCAAAACCTAAAATAAATCCCGAAAAATGTTTCCTGTGGATTGTTCCTAATGTGATGTTAGTTAGCTTACTGAATGTAACGTAATAAAGCCCTACTGTTCTGCTTTGTAATGATTGTAATGAATAGAGACCTAATGTTACCCAGCTGTACAGGAACAATGTTGATCCTTAATATCGTTGTCCTCTGTCTCAATAGTCAGGTGATATGGTGGTTCACTTTTACTCTTTCGTCATTATTTTTTTCATGTCAGTCTGACAGCCTGAATACAACCTTCAAATTCACAATGCAACTGCAAAACTGTCTGCTTCTTTCTGAGATCACTTTATCCAAAAATTAGACAATATTTCTCCAGGGAGTGCAGTGTAGACAGTGGGAGCACCGTGATAAAAGTCTGACAGGACCGACACTTTGTCAGACTTAGCAACAGTAACTACAGGGTTAGCGAAGGGAGGTGGGGGGGGTTTGCTTTGTGACCCTGCGGAATGTGATGACAGGATGTTTGGGGGTCCTCACAAAGCCTATTTTATGACTCAGGCCATGTGGACGGAATATCTTCATTCTTTTATCAATAAAAGATACAACATATTGTTCATCAGAATCTGTGTTCTCCTGCAATATCCTAAAAATCAACCTCTGGTGACAAAACATTGTATTCACAAAATGTATAATGCAATCTCTGTAAAATCCCGTCTCTGACTGGGCTGACAGCCAGTTATAGTTAAGGATCATGGGGTGGCGCCAAGGGTGGCAAACCCTGGACACACCCCTGAGCACTGGTCTCTCTCAATCTCCCTTTTTCTTTCAAATTCAAATTTGCTTTACTGGCATGACCAGAATCACGTGCAGTATACATGTTAGGATGAAATATAATGAATGCAATGGTGCTGAGTAGAATAGACAGTTTAATGTGTTGCTCTGCTGGTTTTCCTCTCTGTCTGCCTGTCTGTCATTTTTCCAGTATAAAAGGCTCAGGGTTGTAAATGCCCCATTTGGATGGAAGTGGCATTCCAGCTGCTGTGCGTGCGTGCGTGCGTGCGTGCGTGCGTCAGAGGTCTGACATCAGAGACAGGATGTCATTCCAGTATGTGTGAGAGACACAGAGTATTGAGTGAAGAGAAGACTGAGGGAGCGAGTGTGAGTAGATGGACATTTCCTCAATAAGCTTACTGTCGCATAGAGAGGTGGTCATGTTACCAAAACCACACTGGTTCAGATTCCAGGGATGGCTCTTTGGCCTCTACTTTGCCTTTTTCCATCTCTACCCCCTCCTGTTTCCCTGTTTTTTCTTTCCACCCTCTTCCTGCACCTCTGTTCTCTTTTCTTGCCTTCCTCTCCTCTTTACCTCTTCATCCTCATTCCTCTCCTCTTTTGCTCTCTCCCTACACAAAGGTAGTAGAAGTAAAGCATTCACCCATTCAACTTTGTTTCATGACTTGCTGTGTGTGTGTGTGTGTGTGTGTGTGTGTGTGTGTGTGTGTGTGTGTGTGTGTGTGCGTGTTTAAAGTTTCTGTGTGTGGGATCACGCCTGTATACATTCTGTGGTAAAATTTCTGAGGTGGTTTGAAAAAGTCTCAAGGACCTTTAAAGCATCTGGTCTCTCTCAGTTCTGTACCCCTCATGTGCAAATTCTAAGTGAGAGAAGAGCAAAACTGCGCTGCAGTGGGCTGAAGGGCCATCCTGTTGTATGAGCCAGTACACAACAGCCAGATGTGGGTGTGTCCTGTTGAACTTGGGAAATTATGAGAGCAGGTTTTGAACTGGATTTTGCATTTATGTACATGCTCTCAGAGCCCCTTTCAGATTTTTCTAATTTTGTTGTTTATTACCATCCAGTATACATCAAGGTTTGTCTGTATTTATATTACCATTCCCACACTGTAGTGTAGAGAAATCCCAAGAAAGCAGCAGCTTTTTTTTTAAAAAAAATGATCACCACATCAGGTGCCATTCACATCTCCTGTCTTCCCCATTAGACAGTAGTGGGAGGATTTACACATCTGTAACAGCTGCTGCTGAAACAAAATTCTGTTTCTTTTTTTTGAAAGATGTTAAATTGCATTTACAGGAAATTATGTTTGTATTTTTAGTAAATCTATCAGTGTTATGCTGCTTGTCCAGGCCCAGGCTGCATTGGCTTATTTGATTAGATCATAAAGAATTCCTGTTGTATAGTTCTAGCCATATTGGTTTTCCATGATACTTACATTCTTTGGCTAGTATGATTGTGAAATAGGTAAATTGAGCTCTAAGTGATATTAAAAGGTCTTAAAGTGTTAAATATAACTTGGTGAACCCTGCAGAAACCCTGTGTGTGTGGCAGAGATAGTGACCTCATAACGTTGAACGTGTGTGTGTCTCCAGTGTGATGTGTGAGTTATTTATGTCTTTTTCTCTGTCTTCAGGTGTATGACACTCCTCCCATGGTGGTGAAGGGGCCATCTAGTGGTCATTTTATATATGACACCCCAGCAAGCACAGACAAGAACTCACAGCAAATGGTAAGGCTTTGGATTTAGGAGCTAATGTGTTTTTATGTGTCACAGATTTGTGGTATGACAATTTTGTTACAATTGCTTGATAGTGTCAATTTGAAGATATTACTGTCCCATATCCCTGCAGTCATGTTCAAAACTGTCATTTAAGCAGTACGGGTGTCTTGACAATGGATAACAAACAGAATGTTAAGTAAAACAGCAAAACACAGTACCAAAAGATCATCACAAAAAAAGGGGTAGAATTTAAGACATTGATATTAATAAGACTAGTGTACAGTCATGCTAGTTGATCTGTTGTAATGATTACCATTGTCACCATCTTAGTTAGCATGCTAACATTTTATTAAGTTAGTTAGAGGAACGCCAAATGTATTATAATTCATCCTGAGAGGGACATGAATGTCTGAAACAAACTGCTTGGCTATTGCAGTCCCTAGAGCCACGCTGCTAGCATTGCTAGAAACTGCTTCTACAGTAAAAAGTAGCAATTCTCCTCTAAGATGTAACACATGTAATGGACACATTGCACTGCGTTATAGTAGCCAGCTACAAAGTAACCCACAACCAGCTGACATGTCAAACTAAGGTGATATGGGCGCATGTTGTTCTTAGGAAAGTTATTTTTAAATAGTTAATTGTGCATCATAAGAAGTGTGTTGATCGGTCAGGGAAGACTTAGACAGAAACTAAAAGCCCCCGACACTGTTCAGCAGTTTCACACAGTACTAACTAACTAAAATGAACAATCAAATCAAACACTTTATGCAATACAGGATATTTCCCTCTCTCTCTTCAGGTCTATGACTTCCCCCCGTCTGTCAGTAAAGACGTCCCTGATGCTCAGCCAGTCAGAGAGGAGACCTATGACGTACCACCCCACTTTGCCAAACTCAAGCCACAAGTACCCGTCCCTCCTGGCCAGTACCTGCACAACAACCTCAACGATGATGATGAGCCGCCGATACCAGAGGACGTGTACGACGTCCCACCCCCCATTCTGACTGAAAAGCATTATCATGCAGAAAGGGGCGGAGTCAGCCAGGCCCCCCAGGAAATCTATGACATCCCGGCCAGCCTGCGGAGCGGAGGTCCCCCAACCCAGGATGTGTATGACTTTCCTCGGGAACGAGAGGAGAAAGGAGACCAATATGTCTACGATGTCCCACCACAGGTAGGAGACTTAAAGGGGCTATATGTAGTGTTTCAATGAAATCACTTTACTGCCTTACTGTCAACAAGCTGTAGCCTCACTTAGAAATGAGGCACACGCATGTTTTCTCTGTTGCTTGCAACAGCCTCTATTCTGCTTTTAATGTGTAGGCACCGGGTTGAGATGCAGCCCTATGCGTGCTCCTGAGCCTCTCTCAAGGGCAATTTATACATCTGCGTCACATCGGCGTCGTAGGTGACGGCATAAGCTACGGGGCTACGCAGAGGCTACGCCATCGCCTGACGTGCACCTCCTCCAAAATGTAACTACACGTCGAGTCGACGTGGACCATAAGCTCTGTGATCTTAAATAATGGGGGGCAGGTCAGGAATATGAGCTTTTACGAGTTACGAGACACAGATGCCCACAAATCTATTGAGGGCCCTTTGTTAATGATATTGACAGTTGCCTCATTGTCTCAAAGAAACAGGATACGGTATAACAATTGGCTGCTTTTCCATTACAGCAGTAGAAGAAGCATTAGCTGGCAGGTTCTTTTGGCCATACATCAAAGAACAGCTTATTGAAAAACTCCTAAAACCAACAGAAGGGGATGATATGACTTAGGTCTGAGGTGATCTAGAAATTATGTAGGCCAGATTTTGTTTTTCTTCTGATCTCTGTGAGATCTATCATGGCTGTCAGTGTAACGTTACCATGTAACGAGCATGGATTAGTTCAACCTGCAGCTGTTAAAAATATTACTGTAACGTTACAGTGCGAGTTTACCTGAGTTATCAGCATGTTGTGTGAAGCTGTCTCCCTGTCTGTCTCTAGTCGCTGTCACACTGCCTTTTTTCCGGGAGTATTGTACAAATATGCGGCTCGCTGCGCTCTATGAGCCGGGAACGTTGATGAGTTCAAGTGAGCGTGCATACGAGCACACACCTGGTTGCAATCTTAAAACCGCACCGGTAGTGGCTGCTGACTGCATATTACCCCTTTAAAGTGGCAGTCCCACATTCTGAGAAAGATGTTTGTTTGCTTTTAAAACAAGATTGCTTTGTGGTACAGTACAACACACTCACTCTCCTCAGTAAACCCAGTCATAATTACAAACTCAGCCGCTCACTCACAGTCATTCTTGCTCACCTTGTATTACTGCAACTATGTGTTCTCTGCTGTCTGGGCTTAGCTTGAGACAAACAGAGAGTTTGCCACTGTCATGATTAAGGCCACACTGAATGTTACATTGGCTTGACCTTTTTATGAATGTCTTGTGGACGAACCTGCTTGCTTTCATAGCCTGTCCGTGGTTTTGTTGCCCTATCTTGTTTAATTAAATATTTTATGTTTGAATTTAAATCTGGTACTTTTTTCTGTAACATTTGCTACCACATAGCTGCTGTTGAGACTTTGCATTAAAACAGTAATGATCATTTGCCCATCCTTCTGTCATTTAGTTCCTTTTAGTTTAGGGTTTGTCTTCTTTTCGTTCTGTCGTGTTCACTGTCAAATACTTTACATCATAGTCTTTATTGATGAGATTAACACTGCCAGCTTAGCACACCGACAAAACAGGGGGAAACTGCGAGGTAAGGTTATGTACATCCTGCTTTAATCCAGTTAGTCTCTACATCATTTCAGCTGTGTTTTGTGTTTTCCAGGTTGTGCGTGATGCCCAGTCCACCAGTGAGGAGCTGACCTTCAAGCGGCTGTCTGCCTCGAGCACTGGAAGCACACGGAGCAACCACTCTGCTTCGTCCTTGGACATGGTCCCTGTCCGTGACACCTCCTCTTCCTCCTCACTTTCTGCTCCTGGCTCCACTCCAGCGAAACCCCTCATCTTGGACCTGGAGCAGGCCATGGAGCGTCTGTCTCGTCTCCAGCAAGCTGTTGAGTCCAGCGTTTCCCTCATGATGTCATTCATCACAGGTAACTGGAGAAGCCCTGCTCAACTGGAAGGGAACCTCCCAGCCATTCATCAGGCTGCTGACCGGGTGCGCGTCACTGTCCGAGACTTCCTAGAATTTGCCCGGGGCGCTGTGGCGAATGCGGCCCAGGCCACAGACCGCTCTCTGCAGACCAAACTGGGCCGTCAGGTGGGGAAGATGGAGGAGGTCTTCCAGAGTTTGGTGCGACACAGTCAGAGCTTAGATGGCCTTTCCTGGTCGCACACGGCGCTCACAGCACCGCCACCAGGAGGGGATGACTTAGATCGACTAATCATGACGGCACGAGGAATCCCAGACGACGCCAAGCAGCTCGCCTCCTTTCTGCATGGTAATGCGTCTCTGCTCTTCAAGCGGACCACCCGGCACCAGCAGCAGCTGCCGCTTCCTCCAATTCCAGGGGAGATCAGTGGTCACATGACAGGATCAGGAAGTGGTAGCTATCAGGGAGGGGAGAAGGTGAACATTCAGTTGCGGCCCCTTCCCTCTCCGCCAAAGTTTACAGCTGCAGAGGAAGAGGAAGGTGTGGACAGGCCATATGAGACCACAGAGGAAGGCTGGATGGAGGACTATGACTACGTACATTTACAGGTACACACACATATATATACACTTATACAGTGTGTGTTGAAACGCTACACAGTCTGAGCACAGTAATAAGAAAATGAAATGCATTGTGTCATTACACACCGTTTCAATGTATGTGTGTGTGAGGAGATACTGTAAGGCCATTCATTTTATTGCAGTTCATGTTTGTCACCCTTAGAGGGAGACAGAGGTTGTATATTAATTATGATCCTCCCACAGAACCACAAACAGAGAGATGTGTTTTAAACATAACATGTAAGTTTGTACAAGTGGTGTAACTGTGTGTTGCTCTGTCAGGGAAAGGAAGAGTTTGAAAAGAACCAAAAACAGCTGCTGGAGAAAGGCAACATCATCAGACACAAGACACAACTGGAACAGCAACAGGTATGTGTGTGTGTCCTCGTCCTTCTCTGCCTCAGTCCATCACCCTCACTTTACTTGTTCTGTGCTTTTTTTGTGTGAGGATGAACATAGATGGCAGTAGAAATTAGTAGTAGGCCGTAATAAGAACTGAAGATGCTTTAATGCTCGGCCACTAGGGGACAGACAAACTCCAGAACAAGTGGACAGGCACACAAGTGTGACATCCTCACATTATAATTGTGTTATAAAGTCAAAACTATGAGCTTAAAGAGGCTAAAAAGCTCAGTAGACCCGCAGAGTTTCATAATAATTCTGACAGAACAGCTTAGTTATTTAAAATCTTACTCAAACAGATTTGAGGTATGTAATTGAAAAACCAGCTACACTCCACTTGTTTTAACTGCTGTTAATGTCAGTCGGAGTGACAAAATAGGATTTTACAAAGCAAAATTGTGTTTTCATCTAAATGTTAAACTGAGTTTGAGTTTGATTTGTGACCTACACAACAGCACTTAATTAAAGCACAAGTAGTTAGATCTGCAACTAACAGCTATTTTCATTCTCAGTTTCTAATAATTCATTATCTAACAAGTAATCGATCATTTGCTTAGTTTATAAAATGTCCAACAATTGTGAAAGAAAAAGGTGCCCAGTGTTATATTTTTAATTACTTGTTTCGTCAGATCAACAGAGAAAAGCTGGAACCAGAGATGTTTGCAGATTATTTTTCTATCGGCTAATTGTTGCAGCTCTACAAGTATTAACTGTCTCCTTCCTTCTCTTCTCCTTCCAGATTAAACAGTTTGAGCGGCTAGAGCAGGAAGTCAGCCGGCCAATCAACAATGACATGACTGGCTGGGTCCCGTCCCCGCACCACCCTCTGGCCAACCACTTGGCCCAGAACGGCTCTGGAGCCCTCACCTCGTCCAAACTGTGCAACGGCGACCGGCAGCTCCTCCTCTTCTACCAGGAGCAATGTGAGCAGAATGTCACCACGGTGACCAATGCCATCGATGCCTTTTTCACCGCCGTCAACTCCAACCAGCCACCCAAGATCTTTGTGGCGCACAGCAAGTTCGTCATCCTCAGCGCGCACAAGCTGGTGTTCATTGGCGACACACTGTCACGCCAGGCCAAGTCTCCTGACGTGAGGGCCCGGGTGGCCCAGAGCAGCAACACCCTTTGCGAAAAACTCAAAGACATTGTGATCAGTACAAAGACAGCTGCTCTTCAGTATCCTTCCCCTGGAGCAGCCAGAGAGATGACTGAGAGGGTAAGGGAGCTGGCAGGGTGTACGCAGCAGTTCAGGATGGTGCTGGGACAGCTGCTGGTGATGTAGGGGGAGTGGGGGGAGGAGTGCTGCCCTGTACACCCTTCCAGTGTGAGGTTGGAGACCCTGCGTGCCTCGACAGGATGAGGCTTTCCATCACTTATGCGCTTGACATGTAGCATGAGAAACCCTGTGTGGCCCTGGGTCCTGGGGGTCTGGCACCCTGTCTGGGAACGGGGACACTGACCTCACTTCCATCCTCTGCTCTTTCCCTACCTTGCCTTTCACTGGGACCGTTCTTCCCTCATCCCTCCTTCCTCTGTGTGCTTTTTAATCTAGACAAACTAAAAGGAACATTTTATCTTCAGTGGGCTGGGCCAATGGTTGTAAAATAATCATTGTAAATATTTAAGTCACCTATTCAGTCAGAAAACCAGAAAGAGAAAGACTTAAGAACTTCTAGTATATAAATATAAATATATGGTTCTCTTTTTTTTGAAGAAAGAAAAGATGGAAACACAAGTGTAGTTTTTAGACTATATCAATAATTGCTATTATTATTGCTATACCGTATAATTATGACTCTGATTCTTGATCCTTGTATCATTATTGTTATGGATGTGTAAATTCCAGATATGTATGACTGTATGTTGTAGTATGTCTATGCTCTTCTCCATCCACTAAAACACTGGAGCACACACCCGTCTTTAAACTTTAAACTATCCACCAGTTCAGGCAACACTGCTGCCAAAAGATGTCCACGTAACTGTACAGTTCCTGTGCTGCAGTTATTAAAGATGATCTCAGTGCCATGTCAGTTGCTTTTTTGGAAAACTATACGTAGGTTGTTTTGTAAGAGGCATGTATTAAAGAAAAGGAGTGTAAAATGTTAAAAACTACAAATGAAATTAAAGATGCGTTCATTCTTTTCACTGACACTGTGGTTGTCACTGGGTTTTTTAAATAATCAGAAATGATGTGAAATGGCAAATGTATCACACTAGAATCCCCTGTAGACACTGTGTGGGGCATTTGCACATGTGTGTGTTTCACCTTAATTTCCTACCCTAATGCAGACGATGATCTCAATAGTCCACTGAATTTGCTTTCAGAATGTTATCAAATATCTATTGCAGGAAGAAAAGGAAAAGAAGACAGTATCATGGGGTAAAAAAATGACCACAAATTATTATGATGTCCTTCACAGTCAGAAATGAATGTGCCTGCCTCAACTAAAGCTATGCTCTATTTCAGTCAGGACCACAACTTTTATTTTGATCTGCATTACGTTATATTTGGCGGTATGGCTCTGTTATGGGACCTCAGAGCAGCAGCACAGACCCCCAAGCTGACCATACCAGGCATACCTCCCTGGCCTTGCATGCACATGGAGTAGGAAAGTCAATTAGACTAAAATGACTTACACTGAGGCCAGTTGAATTCACACAGATTGCTAGTTTGAAGAAGGCAAGAGGAAAACCAATCTCAGAGGCTGGCTTGAGTTCGGCTTCTCAGATAGCGAGTCATAGAAAAACCAAAACACCCATCCGTAAAATATTTGATACATTTTTGCAGGTGTTAGAGTGAATACAGCATAGATCTTTAATCCCTTAACACCTGAATTTTTTCAAAAAATAACAAAAATAATTTGTGTTTTCATTTGCTTTCAAGCCGATGTGAAGATTGTTAATTTGTCTATAGAACATAGAAAAAAATATAAAAAAAAAAATCAATTCAGGAAGGATGTAGGTATGATGCAAATGATGCGACAAGAGGCATAAATGAGAGGGCTTGCAAAAGGTTCCTAGGTACATATTGAATATGCACAAACAGGCATTGGGGGAATCCATGCGCTATCTTGGCTGCAGTCTGAAAGGAAGAGGTGTGATGTGAATTTGCAACAATCGGCGTCAAGGGGTTAAAATCAGATCTCGTATAGAAACCAGCAGAGAGCATATATAGTAGGTTGCAGTGTTGTGTTGAATCTAGTTTGAATAGTTGTATTCAAACTTAAATAATGGGGGGCAGGTCAGGAATATGAGCTTTTACGAGTTACGAGACACAGATGCCCACAAATCTATTGAGGGCCCTTTGTTAATGATATTGACAGTTGCCTCATTGTCTCAAAGAAACAGGATACGGTATAACAATTGGCTGCTTTTCCATTACAGCAGTAAAAGAAGCATTAGCTGGCAGGTTCTTTTGACCATACATCAAAGAACAGCTTATTGAAAAACTCCTAAAACCAACAGAAGGGGATGATATGACTTAGGTATGAGGTGATCTAGAAAGTATATAGGCCAGATTTTGTTTTTCTTCTGATCGAGGAATACCCGATTTTGCTAAATGGTAAATGGTCTGTACTTGTATAGTGCCTTTCTAGGCTTCTGACTGCTCAAAGCACTTTACACTAATTGACTCATTCACACATTAAGAGGCAGGACAAGATGTGTGTTCATGTTTGTAAGTTAGATAAGAAGGAGGTTTTAACAGAAAAATTATTGTGGGTGGTGGTTGGGGTGTTTGTTGTCTCTATGTAGACAGAGAACTAATAGTATTACATTGAATCAATGCAGATCTCGTAAATTTCTCCCTTTTGGTTTCAGCTCATGTAACTTCCAGGGTGAAGTGATTACTTCAGAATGGGACTACACTGTAAGAAATGGAGGACAAAATGTGTAAATATTTTCAGATTGCTGAAGCTAAGAGTTGGACAGATGTTGTGTGTAGGTTTATTGCTTGTGTACCATGTATCCCTCGGCCACAGTTCAGCAGAGACATTTTGTGATGGAACAAAAAAGAGAAATTCTTACTTAATCGACTGGAAAATACCTACTTGATTTGTCTAACTCAGACTGCTGAAACCTCATTTCAGCTTCAGCTGAACTTTAGAACAAGGCGAATGATTACTCCGAACTTTAACTCTCTACACAGTAACACATATGTGAGCCTTTTATTAAAGCAACATTACGTAGTAATTTCTCTTAAAATAACAAATTAAAAATCATTTTGATGGTACACTGACTTGTAACAGGGTCATCGGCGTCTCTGTCACTCCGGGCTCGCTGTGCCTGTGACTGCGCTACGTAACATTGGAATTATCATGACAACAGCGTAATGCTCTTCAGCTATAAGCAGCAGCAAAGAGTTGTGAAGAGACCGGGGAAATAACCTCTTAATAGGCCTATGGGACCTTTTTCACCTCAGTGATAAATGAATTCATTTTAATTCAGTTATAAACTCCTGGACTTTAATAGCTCAAGTGTTTCAGCAGGTATTCTGCACATTCAGAATCTCTCCCACATCTGTTCTGACATGTCCAGGAAAAAAAACAAAATCGCCTAGCCTAGTCATTTAATGATAATTCATTTTTAATTCTAGCTGGCCTCTACTCTGCATTACGTTATTGATCCGCTGCTACATAGCCTATCCCGTTAGAGCTGCAAAAGGTGAAGTTTCTTTTACTCAGTAACAGCTGTGATTTAAAATGTAGCGAAGTACAATAATTAAAATAAAACATAAGTAAAATTAGGTTAGAAAACTACTTAAAAAAAAGCTACTCAATTACAGTAACATGAGTAAATGTGTTGACTTGCTAGTTTTTGAAATAATGTAGTCATAACAAATGCACGTGTACAGCTCCTTAGAAGCTCCTAAGGATCTTTATTACAACAGTGAATTACACTCTGAGGTAGGGATGCCACATCACACAAAAAACAAATCTTACATAATGTTGCTTTAAGGTGGACTTCAAAAAATCAGAACCTTTCTGTTAATGTACCAAGATGTGAAAGTCAGATGTAATGCAACATTTAGTTTTTAAATGAGGAAAACAAAGACACATTGGCAGTTGTGTTTATAATGGATATAACCACTGAACATAAAATCAAGTAGTCTGCCAAATGAGTAAATGTAAATATTATGCTAGGATATGTTTAAATAAATGGTATAAAATATCCATTTCAAAATGTGACTAGCATGTTTTTCAGCCAAATTGTCCAATGAGAAGTTAGAGACAACATGTTGCTAAAAAGCTTTTAATTTGACTCTCAGATGTCAAACAAAGGTGGCTGTTGCTGTGTTTAGTCGGTAGGTCTGGTGTGGTTGCTACCAGGGGATAGTGTTTCCTTGCCAGTCCACAAGCATCCCACAATCTTTGTTGCTGAGTGATGACATCACACTGAGCATGCCAAGTACGCTGTCCTGGGTGGTTAAAGGAGCCTAATGGAGACAAGAGATAAGTCAATAAAAAATGAAAGTGGAAACTGCATTATTCATTTATTCACTACTACTCATGTAAGGTAGGGCCTAAATACAGGAGCTTCACAGTGGTGGCAATAGTGGAACTAATTACCCAGGGCCTATTATAGGGAAGGCCAAGAAGCTAAAAATTTTAAGTTTGTTTTCACCTGCAATTTTAAGATTGAAGATTACAAAAACATTACTGTTTGAGAAATTAAACTTTAACCAACAGACCCAGCATCCCTCCCCTCTAACATCTAGGTACACCTTAGAAGGATTGGACAGGTCTGTGTGCACTGACACTATAAATAGCCTTATAAACAGCCATAAAAAGTAGGAAGCAAGAAAAAAGTTACTACAATTCCTCCTGAGGGGGATATGAATGAAATCATTTCATGACAATCCATCCAATACTTTCATCAAGACTTTTCCACTCTAAATCAAAAATGTCAGCCATAGAGGAAAAGTCATCCTCTGGGAACCATGAATGTCTGTGCACAATTTCATGGCAATTCATTCTGTAGTTCAATTCAGTTTTATTTATATAGCGCCAAATCACAACAACAGTTATCTCACAGCGCTTTTCATAAAAGAGCAGGTCTAGACCGTACTCTGTGATGCTATTTACAGAAGCCCAACAGTTCCCACCAAGAGCAGCACTAGGCAACAGATGCAAGGAAACACTTCCTTTTAAGAGGCAGAAACTTCGTGCAGAACCACAGATCCAGACTCCACAGCTCCAGAGCCAGAAACACCTGCAGGAAGTGATAGGAGGAGAGAGGAGAGGGACGAGAAAGCACAAGACTACCAGAAAGGGGAAAAGTTGCTGCATACATACTGGTTGCATACAGAGGGAGAGAAAGTAGAGGAGAGAGGAGCTCAGTGCATAGTGGGAAATCCCCCGGCAGTCTAGGCCTATAGCAGCATAACTAAGGGATGGTTCAGGACTCACCTGAGCCAGCCCTAACTATAAGCTTTATCAAAGAGGAAAGTCTTAAGCCTACTCTTAAATGTGGAGATGGTGTCTGCCTCCTGAACCCAAACTGGAACCTGGTTCCACAGGAGAGGAGCTTGATAGCTGAACGCTCTGTCTCCTAGTCTACTTTTGGAGACTCTAGGAACCACAAGTAACCCTGCATTCTGGGAGCGCAGTGCTCTGGTGGGGTAGTAAGGTACTATGTGTCACAGTTTGTCGTGTGGAGGCAGGTAGTAGGACCCAAATGCAGGACACGGATAGTGCAGGTATAGTTCAAGGGGTTTTAATAAACAAACAAAGGCGAGCAAACTGAGTGGCTGATGACAGAGTCCAAAAACAAAGGTTGTCCAACAGAAATCCAACATCCAATAACAAGCAGGGAAACACAACAAGTGAGGCTGACGACACAAGAACACACTGCAACACAGGGGGACAACATACAATAACCCAACAAAGACAAGACAGAAACACCAGGTATATATACACAAGGACTAACGAGCAGGGCGGGAGCAACACAGGTGAAAGACATGAGGCTAACGAGGCAGAGAGAGAAAGAGAGAGCAGGGGAAAACAGAGACAGACATGCAGAGGGATCACTGGGGTAACAGACATGACAAGGGTTACTGAATACTAGACGACAGACAAGACAGACCCCCAAAACCCAACAGACCAAAATAACGCTAACTAAATACAAAAGTGCAAAACACGGCATGGCAGACAGGCAGAGTGTGACACTATGAGCTCTTTAAGATAAGATGGTGCCTGACCATTAAGAGCTTTGTAGGTGAGAAGAATGATTTTGAATTCTATTCTGGATTTTACTGGAAGCCAATGCAAAGAAGCTAAAACAGGAGAAATATGATCTCTTTTCCTGGTTCCTGTCAGAACACGAGCTGCAGCATTCTGGATCAGCTGAAGAGTCTTAATGGACTTTTTCGAGCAGCCTGATAAAAAAGAATTGCACTAATCCAGCCTAGAAGTAACAAATGCATGGACTAGTTTTTCTGCATCATTTTTAGACAGGATGTTCCTGATTTTCGCAATATTACGTAGGTGAAAAAAGGCGGTCCTTGAAATTTGCTTAATGTGAGACTAAACGACATGTCCTGATCAAAGATAACTCCAAGATTCCTCACAGTGGTGCTGGAGGCCAGGGCGATGACATCAAGGGAAACTATATCTTTAGATAATGCGTCACCGAGGTGCATTGGCCCCAGAACAATAACTTCAGTTTTATCTGAGTTTAACATTAGAAAATTACAGGTCATCCAGGTTTTAACATCCTGAAGGCACATTTGAAGTTTAGCTAACTGATTAGTTTCATCTGGCTTGATCGATAGATATAACTGAGTATCATCTGCATAACAATGAAAGTTTATGGAATATTTCCTGATAATATTGCCTAAAGGAAGCATATATAAAGTGAAGAGGATTGGTCCGAGGACAGATCCTTGAGGAACTCCATGACTAACTTTGGCGTGCATGGAGGACTCATCGTTAACATGTACAAACTGAAATCGATCTGATAAATAGGACTTAAACCAGCTTAGAGCGGTTCCTTTAATGCCAATGAAATGTTCCAGTCTCTGCAATAGGATCTGATGGTCAATGGTATCAAATGCAGCACTAAGATCTAATAAAACCAGTACAGAGACAAGTCCTTTGTCTGATGCAATAAGGAAGTTGTTAGTAATTTTCACCAGTGCTGTCTCTGTACTATGATGAACTCCAAATTCTGACTGAAAATCCTCAAATAAACTATTGCTCTGTAGAAAGTCACACAGCTGTTTAGCAACTGCTTTCTCCAGAACCTTAGAGAGAAATGGAAGGTTAGATATAGGTCTATAGTTGGCTAAAACATCCGGATCAAGTTTGGGCTTTTTCAGAAGAGGTTTAATTACAGCTACTTTAAAGTACTGTGGTACATAGCCTGTTGATAGAGATAGATTGATCATATCTAGTATGGAAGTGCTGACTAAGGGTAAAACTTCTTTAAGCAACCTAGTCGGGATGGGGTCTAAGAGGCAGTAAAGATATTTCAGTCTGGACCAAAGTGGTGAACTAACTGACCAACCAACATTTGTATCCATAGCTGCACACTGCTAACAAAAAACAAACTTACAAACCCCTCATTAGTATGAAGGACACTGTAGCTCATGAAGCTGATGGATACCGGTGGTGAAGGTAATTTACTTCAAAGTAATAATGCCACGATGTAAAAATTACATTACACCATTTCAAGTCCTGCATTAAAAATGTTAATGTAAGCTTTAGATTATTATGTTTTATTGTGGGATGATTTTTTTCTGATGCATTATAATGTTGGAGATGGTGGAGGTGGAGCCAATCTTACCAACTTTATTTACTGCTGAGTTGTTTGGTCTACAAAAATGGCTCAGTAGCTCAGGAGGTAGGTCACAGGATTGGTGGTTCGATCCCCACCTCCTCCTGTCCACATGTGAGTGTACTTTGTCCACAAAGTGTACTTTGACAAGAACTGAACCCCAAATTGCTCCTTATGGTTGGCCAGCACCCTTCCTGGTAGTTACCCTACACACGGGGTGAATGTGTGCGTGAATGACTAGCTTTGGATAAAAGCGCTGTTTAATGTAGCTATTTACCATTTATGCCCAAACCAACAATAATGTACAGACAATATAAACTCCACAGAGGCTGCAGCACACACAAACACAAATATTAAAGTAAGAATTAAAGAACAGAATATATTTTATATATATATATATTATATTTAAAAGGCATACAGTACTTCTCTGTAAACGCTCCATCACCTCACCTGTTCTCCTCCCATGTCTGTGCGGACCCAGCCGGGGTGGATTGCTGCTACCAGTATGTTGTGTATCTTGAAGTCCTCAGCTAGACAGCGAGTCAGCATATTCAGCGCTGCCTGGTGAGCACAGCAGAAAGGACAGAAGCTTTGTTTTTCCAAAAGTCAACAATATGGGAATTGTTAAATATTGTGTTACAAAAATGAATTAAGTGTAATAGTATTGAGTGTTAATCATGAAACCCAGGATGTGTGGGTCCCTAGGATCAGCTCAGGTTAAAGACAGTAGGCCATGTGTGACATGGGGTCATCCTCTGTATGATTTCTAGGAATGTGGAAGTTTTAATAAGCTGAGGAGTTTAAGTAACTCCTTATCTGTAACAAAATAAAATAAATAAATTACACATGGTGCTTTTTTAAAGGTTCAGTGTGTAAGATTCAGTCTACAGCCTCCCCTTTCAAAGAGTGTAGGATACCTACGGTGGCTGACACAGTAATACCATATGTTATTGTGAAAATGATTGTTACTTATTCATCAAACAACAGCAACATCAAGAAATGAAGTGCTACATGATGTCTCATACTCCTGTAATACATTACTGTACTGTACTGTAATCATACGTTTTGTTACATCTTGGGAGGGTTGGCTCATCTGGACTAGTATGTAGTTAAAGTAAATGAAGAACATCTCAAAAACTATCCCATCTAGTGTAAGGATGAGCTTTGCCACTGACAGACAACAGGAAAATGTAAGTGTGAAACATCACTGTTTCTGCACCACAGTCCATTATAAACCACATAATAGATGAAATTTACAAAGGCATAGTCAGGTGAGGATCAAGACTCCTTTCCACTTTGTTCAATTAGCAAATAAGCAAAGCCAAAATACAGCGTTGTGGAATAACGCTGTATATCATTACTTTTTCTTCTTCTTCGTATATTTGTTTTCAACATAGTGATGAGCATCTACACTGCCGGAATTCCAAAAGAAGACGAAGAACGTAGAGTAGTTTGTCCGTTTGTCCGCACAGTGGGAACTGTCAAAATGTCAAAACCATCCAAGTTAAAACATTTTTGGATAAGTTTCACATATAAAGACCTCATTGCGAATCATTTCCCCTATTTTAACTTCTTTAACCCTTGACAAGTACATTTCTATTTAGTTCTTAATTTGTCATTTCAAAATGTTTGCTTAAATTTTTTCAAGCTTTTATCTCAATTTCTGATTTGTGCTAAATTCAAAAACATGAAATATTTTGTTTTCTTCTCCTTTATTTGATCAAAACTTCATTGAGCGTAAAATCTTCTATTCAGGAGGAATAAGACCAACCTTCACAAATCAGGAGACAAATTTCAAAGGCCATATCCCATGGCACAGTCCTCAGAGTGACTGCTATCACCAAGAGAACCAGAGCTGGCCTGAGGAAATACTGCACAGCCTCAGCATCATACCTGATCTGTGCAGTAATGTGAATATTTCAGAAGCTGAACAAAAAAACAGGGAGCTCTCTTATGACAGATACTTCCTATGCCAAATGAAGGAAACACACTTCTTGTTTTGTTTAAGCGTGGTCTTCCATCTTTACAATGACATCATAAATTAGAATGCAAAACCTGGAAAAGAGAAGAAAAGATAAATGACTTCAAATGACTTCAGATGGACTGCTGACGCTCACGGGAACAGGTAATTGTGTGACAAATTGTAATTAGTGAAACATGTTTTAAACATTATTTAATGCAAATATGAATTTTCTGAATTGTGGTTATTTGTGTCTGGACTGCTAGACATATAGTTCATAGACTTGCTGAGCATTAGCCTGTAATTGGTCGATGACATATGCAAACCCACAAACAAAAGAAAAATAATTTCCTTATAATTTTCATAAATTGGTCTGTTTTTGTAGATGGAAGCCCCCCAATCACAGCTGTCTATTTTCTGAGACATTAACTAGGGCTTCTCATCTTTATTGAACGGTGTAGTAGAGAGGGGATTCGTGCCAGAATGGGATTTAAACCCCCAACAACCTGGCACCTTGTCACAAAAGCTCCATACATCACAATAATGTGTTAAACTTGTTACTCTGATTTCAACTTTTATCATTGCTGCTGATCTAATTCTCAATTTGAACCGCACTCCCACCAAAACACCTGTGCAAGACACCTGGAAAGTAAATGCTCTGTATTTGTATAGCGCCATTATAGTCTTTGCGACACCTCAGAGCGCTTTCACACAACATCACATTCACATTCACATTCATATAGTGAATGTAAGTGCTCAAACGGAAACTAACATTCACACACAGTCAGGATTCAGTATCTTGCCCAAGGACACTTCGACATGCAGCCTGGAGGAACCAGGGCCTGAATCCTTGGAAACCCGCTCTACCTACTGAGCCACAGCCAAAAGTGTCTGCAAAATGACCATTGTGTCTCATCTCTTTGGCTCAGAGATGATGTAGGAGTACAGTGACACCAAAGGTTTAAGTACTGATAGCTTTACTTGTTCCTTTACAGGTAGTCAATGCGAGACTACTCCAGCTGGCAAAATCTGAGCAGAATGTGAGATAAGATTTGGTGTCAGTAGTCTTTGTAAAGACTTTCGTGCTACCAACAGGCTTGTCCTTTGATCTTTGCTGGTGATTGATTTGCAAACATACCATGTCACAGCTTGGTGGAGAAACTGGCTAAACAGGGAATCTATCAGCTTCCTGCGTTTGAAATGCATCAGGTGTGCCTGTGTCTTTTATCTGCACGTTCTTCCCTTTTGCTTTATTTTACAGAAGTATATATGACAGTAACAGACTACAAATAACTTTATACTTTGTAGAGCTGAGAGACCATCAGATTCCTTCTGTGGGTGACCACTGCACTGAAATTAAAATGCTGTTTCTTGTTTATGGAAGACTGTTTTGGGGACATTTATACTTTTTGTTAAACAGTTAAAAGTTGAGAGAGATCGGAAGGTTAGGGGACAGAAAGGGGGACAACTTGATAAAGGTCCTGGGCCTGATTCAAACCTGACGTCACAGTTACAGATTATGCTTCTTAGCCCACTGAGCCACCATCAATATAGTTATATATCTTATTACATAGAATCAAACATGTCTGTTATTTTTGGCTGAGCTTTTGAAAACATATGGAGCCTGTCCGCACTCTGCCCATGCACTCACTGCACATGAACATATGTTTTGGGGGAGTGGCTTTGGAGCAAGGCCTGAAGGGAGGAGCTGGGATTTTTTTGGTTGGATTCTTTCAACAGTCTTGCTAGTTCTTCAACGTTGCCCACCCCACCTTTATGTAGCAGGATATGTCTGTCAGTAACAGTTCTTTAACAAGTGTGACACAAGTTGTTTTTTATTTATGAAACCCCGGGGTTATTTAGTTCACAAACCCTAGGATGTTTCTATGTTTTTAGTCACGCAATGTGTGACATAATGTTATGCCTGTAACTATTTACATGTTGTAACCATTACCACAAAGAGTAACTGTCTACATGAGGAATGAGTAATGTAATTTCCTATGACAGTGAATGCAGTTTGGGAAGTTTATTTGTAAGGCACAGTTTCTGCACATGATAAGGTGTAAAAACCTAGCCTGCTAATTCTGCATCCTATAATGTTATTTGTTGTATAATACATTTTATTAGTCAGTCATGAGGCAACATCAAGCTCCTTATTTCCTGATTCCGTTTGACTCTGTGGTTATTTGCAAGAGGATGCTTTCGACTACAGTTTTGTGCAGCTCTCTGTAGTGAGTGTGGGCATCCCCTGTCCTCACTCCAGATGCGCTTGGCTCTTCCACAGCCTCCACTATTTCCTTGAAGACACCATCAAATTTTGCTCACTCACTTTCAAAGTTCTACCAAAAAATCTTCTTCAATTCTAGACAGACAGAAGTGGACATCAGGCTCTTGAGAATTCCAAGAAGCATGTTGACAAAATCGTCACTCCTCATTGGCGCTGAGTATAGCTACCTCGGTGTTAGGTGCGCTTTGTTTTGTTTTGTTTTTGTGTCTTAATTCAGTTTTCGGCTGTGATTCGACTGTGCAACAAACTGGACAAACTTCAGCTTCTGGTGGGGAAAAACAGAGACTTTTATTCATCTTCTGTTCTGTGCTTCACGAAGACCTGGCTGTCTGAACTGATACTGGACTCCGCGCTGCAGCTGGCAGGCTTCCAACATGTACAGAGCGGCGACACAGAATTCTCCGGCAAAACAAAAGGTGGAGGTGTTTGTTTTTATATTAACTGGCTGGTGTACCGACTTAATTCTGTGAAGATTCTCAGTCATCCAGGTCATAGTTATCTAACGAAGGTTAAAGTCAAGGGCAACTGGACTTGGTTGAAGATACTGGACTTGATTCAGCAGCACTGTTCTCCTAATCTGGAATTTCTTATCATTAACTGTAAACTGTTTTACTCCCCCGTCAGTTTGCATTCCCTCTGGTTCCCGCATGCTGGCTGACCAGATACTGTGTGTGGAGCAGACAAACCCGGACTCCCTTGTTATTGTCCTCGGTGACTTTAACAGGGGAAATCTCAACAAAGAACTCCCCAAATACAGACAGTTTATAAAGTGTCCAACCAGAGAGGGGAACACTTTGGATCACTGCTACACCACAGTTAGCAGTGCCTATCACGCCGTCACACACGCCTTTTATGGTAAATCCACTGAAACCGACCAGTGTGAGCTGACAGGCAGGTTTATCCTGTCAGTTTCTGTCTTTACAAAGACAAGTCTTGCAGGATGAGAGTCCTACCTGAAGAGAGGCTGTGAAGTCTTCACGTTACGCAATAGGAGAACCACATACAACATTATTTATCAAACTGGGTCAGAGGATACACATATGACAACATCTGGTTTTCAAAATTATAAAGACAGCAATTATAAAGACAAAGAATCTGGGTGAAAGTATGGATCAGCACACGCAGGTAGCAGGGATCGTCTGAGCTACAGAGAGAGCTGGAGGGGAGTAAAAAGTGTTTTGCAGTGAAAAAGTAGCAGCCTGCTCTCATTGGCTGGATGTGGATGTCGAGTCGGCCGACTCCTCCAGATATTTGACGTGCCAGATATCTGGCTGACTGTGATGTGTCACAAATGTGTCAGGGAGCCGTTTTGATGCGTCCTTGTGTAGTTCACACTTAATGACTGGTGACCACTGATCGCTAAAAATCGTGTAGTGTGCACTAGGCTTCACTCATTTTCTTGGAGTGCGTGTGTAGGGGGGGAGGGGAAAATGATATGATGTACCAAAATGATATACTAAGCATATTAAAATCAGATTTTGTGTAAATCCTTTTTACCTTGCTGGTCCTATACGAGTACATCTGTGCTATAGGGAAGGTTTCTGGACATTTCTCTATGGATGAGATGATCGTGGAGATGTTGATGATGGCTGACCTGCTGCAGGACATTTCATCACCTGAGACAGAGAGAGAGATGAAGTAATTTCCATCATGGAATAGGAATAATAATAATAACTATAATGTAAAAATTGGAATGTTCATGTGATATAAATAATAGTTTTTGTACATGTATGTATTTTTGTGTATAAATCACAGCGATTCATACTGTTTCCACTTCATGAGATCTGTCTATATTCTGACTTTTTGTTAAGTATGGAGGGGACTAAGAACACTGGTGGGCCCCTTGGAGTCTTGTAGATGTAAATATATCTGGTAGTCCAATGCATTTAATGCCTGAACACATCTGCTGTGATAGCAGTGAGATGTTCTTCCGACAGAACTTTCTTCATCTGTTTTGTGGGAACATTCAGATGCTGGCACACCGGTAGTGATGCGTTTTATGCCAACAAGCAATGACTGATTTACCAGAGCTGAAAGGGGAGCACCCTACAGCCATGTAGGGAGCTCCACAATATGCCATTGTTGTGAAAAAATTCCCCTGTAGAGAACTTATAATTTTTTATGATTGTATAGTTTGTGTTAATTTGCTTTGGCACTGTTTTATTGTATGCAGTCATGCCAATAAGGTCACTGATCTAGTGATGGAGTAGCTCCAGCAAGAACAGTTTCTAACGTCCAGATGCTCCAGATAAAAAGAAACTCTGCTTTCAGGGGAAGGATTACAGTCAAAAACAGGATGGAGGAGGTCAAACATGGATCACCATTGGTGTAGCTTTTCCTTATTGAAGAGCGCTGAGAGAAGAAAAGGACTGAGGGCAGACAACTATGTCGCAATAATGCTCTTGGACAGGTTGCTATTTGTAAAACAGAATGTACCATTTAGATCCACAGCAAGACACACCATCACAGGTCACTGCTCTGCTCTACTTAATGCTAAAATTCCATGCGCAAAAGGAGAGCGTGATGGGGCAAGAAACCATGAGTATCCATTGATTCTCTGCTTTTTCTCTGCTTTTTTCAATCCCCCATAATCCCTGTATCTGAGACACAAATTCTAGTACAACATGAAAGAAAGGATATTTACCCTTGTTCTTTTCCCTTTCTGCTGATCTCTGGAGCAGTGGGAGAAACATCTGAAGATAGAGAGGAGAGTTTACTGACTAGTGATCAATTATACTCCCAGAGTGTTTAAGTTTGTTGTGTAATTAAACAGCTGACAATGCTTCTGGACAGTGGTGTGTAGGTCTGTACAATGCTTTAAGCTATAAATGATTCAACTAGTTATATTAATACCATTTGAATACACACCTACATATTTCAAATTTTCGGTATCTCATTTCTGTGTGAGTGTGTGAACACTATAAGCAAAGAGTACCTTTGCAATGAGAAATGGTCCGACCACATTGGTTTCATACACATCCATCATGTCATTTTTCCTGGTGGCAGATAATGGTGCTGGTGAGGCTGGTTGGTTGATGGCAGCATTGTTGATGAGGAGGTTCAACCCACCGGCCCCGATCAGCTTGCTCACAGCCTGGACAGCAGCAGAGATACTGTCCTCATCAGACGTGTCTGCAGATGGACATGCATGTACACAAATGTACATTATTAATATTAAAATGAAAATGTTCTGGGTTCACATTTTTGTGCTTTCTTGCCCCTCTCCTCTCTCCTTCTGTCTCTTTCTTCAGTTGTTTCTGGCTCTGGAGCTGTAGGGTCTGGATCTGTGGTTGTGGGATTCCTGCTGTCCCTATGTTCCCACCATTACCTTTCTATTTCTATTATTTTACATCCCTGTGTTGGGCTACTGTGTGTTCTCTATCTATGTCCCTCTCTCTCTCTCACTCACTCTTGTATACTTACTATATGTAAAAATATATGTTAGTTGTAGCTATTACAGATATCATCAACTAGTGTATTAATAGTAGTATTATTAATAGTATAGTAGTATTAATTCTATGCTCTCTCCATCGACTGTCTAACAAACGTGCGGTGCAGTGTTGATAACGGTGGATGGGCACACTCTGGACTTTTTAAGGTTGTGGTGATGATGTTGCTTTTTCTGATCATTCCTGTGTTGTTTTTGAGACTGTCTATCTGCACACAGATGTTTAAACGGAGATTTTCACAAAAGTTACATCCCTGAAAACACCAGTGAAGTGTGAGCAACACTGGACTGGATCACTCTGAACCAGATACAGACATTTCAGCACTACCAAATCCGGATTACCAGTGCTGTAAATGGGACTACACATCACAGTGTTTTTGGCTTTTTCCCTCTCCTTTATTGAGTTATATATCTTTTTATGCATGTACTAGGTTTGCAAAGTGAAAAAGCCCAAAGTCCAGCCCAAAGGGAGTTCCCATCTCCCACAGAAAACTCTGCTCTGGACTGCCTGAAAACAGCTTGTTTTTACTCCAGCCTTTACTTCCCTTTCTTGTGACGTCACAATGAAAATACGTGTCATAATGCTCACCTAGCAGCTAGTCAGACACGCCCTCAAAAACACCAGTGGAAAAACAGTGAGCTGCACCACAGCTCTCCTCTCCCTGCCAAACACTAGCTACCCTCCAGGCAGTCAGTGGACATAAAGTTGTTCCTGTGATGTAGAGACAGAGCTCAGTTAAAACTTCATGGATGAAAGATACTTTTGTTACAGATTAATGACTCGCCACTCTGAAACTCTTGCTCCAGTCTATGTTGCCAAGCTGGTCAGCTACAAATACCTTGGGGTGCCGCAGGCAAACAGAAACCATGAGGAGGCAGCAAGGAAGTCCACCACAGCCAACAGAATACAACAGTACAACAGAAAGATGGTCCCCAAAGATGAAGGGCTTAGTGAATACCTCAGGCAGCAGAAACCCGAGGGTGAGGACAAGGAAGATGAAGAACCTTCATGGAGGGATAAGCCTCTGGTCCGCATGTACCACAGACAAATAGAAGAAGTGGTTGATATCCAGAAATCCTACCAGTGGCTGGAAAAGGCTGGACTGAAGGACAGCACAGAGGCACTAATCATGGCGGCACAAGAACAGGCACTCAGTACAAGATCAATAGAGGCTGGGGTCTACCACACCAGGCAGGACCCCAGGTGCAGACTGTGCAAGGATGCCCCTGAGACAGTACAGCACATAACAGCAGGGTGTAAGATGCAGGCAGGAACAACATACATGGAACGCCATAACCAGGTAGCTGACCGAGCTAAGATCCTGTGGGACTTCAAAATCCAGACTGACAAACTGGTGACGGCTAACCAACCAGACATCTTGTTGATCGACAAACAGCAGAAGAAGGCTGCAGTCATAGATGTGGCAATCCCAAGTGACAGAAACATCAAGAAGAAGGAACACGAGAAGCTTGAGAAATACCAAGGGCTGAAAGAGGAGCTAGAAAAGATGTAGAAAGTAACAGCAACAGTGGTGCCAGTGGTAATCGGCGCACTGGGGGCTGTGACCCCCAAACTGGGAGAGTGGCTACAGCAGATTCCAGGTATAACATCAGAAGTGTCTGTCCAGAAGAGTGCAGTCCTAGGAACAGATACTGCACAGAAAAAATAAATGTGGAAATGTGGAAATGCAGGCTTAAATAAATGTAGAAATAAATAAATACATATAGAAATAAATGTAGAAATACAGAAATAAATTCATGTAGAAATGCATAAATACAGAAATAGCCTTTTATTACAAAAATATTCTTAATTTTAATTTATTTATGTATTTAATCATTTATTTCTGCATTTATTTATTTATTCCATTTGTTATTTTTGGTCCGTCATACACATATCAACCTTCTTTAAATAAATAATTGAAAAGACAGATTCAACAGTTGAATGCTTTTCTTGGCCATAAACAATTGTTTTGACAATTGATTTTCCAGACAGAATGTCGACCACACCACAGAGACTGCTCTTGAAGCTCTTCTATGACATCCATTTAAACACAAACAAGTTTAAGTCTTGATGTCTTTACATCTCAGTTCATATAGAATATTATTAGACCAATCTGAAAGACTGGGGGGGGGGTGCTTTCTGGCACAGTAACACGGTCTGAATACTATTTGAGGGATCCAACGAAGGTTAAAATCAAGGGCAACTGGACTTGGTTGAAGATACTGGAAGACGTTTCGTCCCTCATCCAAAGGACTTCTTCAGTTCTGACTGACTGGCAGGGAAACTCAGCTATTTAACCTCAGTGGGGTCGTTGGCCCGGGTCATCGATACCGCTGGTTCGGTAGTGTTCCTTGTTGCTGTGACGACAGTCGTTACAGTCGTTAAGACTACCTGTGGCCAAGACTGAACGACCATCGTTGGTATCTTCACCTGAGGCCAAGACTGAACGACCATCGTTGGTATCTTCACCTGAGGCCAATAGGAAACTTAACAAACGTAACCTATTGGCCTCAGGTGAAGATACCAACGATGGTCGTTCAGTCTACCAGACATTGGAATGATTTCTAAGCCAAAGGACTATACACAATCTATACAATACAATCTTTCATACAGTTCTTAAAATGTTATTCTAAAATTTGTTTTTTAAACTGAATGTCTGGAGTCAAACTCACTCAAAGTCGATCAATTAAAGCTTGAGCTGATAACACCATTAGATTCCTATCACAGTGTGATTTGAGGTGTCCCTACTGAGTGTTACGGGTAAATGCATTATTCTGTAGGACTGATTGTAGCTGCCAAGGAATGCATACGCTGTTGTAATTAGTGATAGCCTATCTATCCCCCCTGACCTACTCCTCCTACTTTTCTCTCTCTTTATACTGCTGATGTCTGCTGACTTTGACTGCATTTCAAAACATTACACTAGATGTCCAGAACAGAGGAAAACAGCAGCTCTTACTGATGTTTCAAACTGACAGGCGCAATCAACATGTTTCTTTTCAGTGATTAGTGGGATAAGTTGGCGACATGTAATGTTTACACATTACATGTCACCAACGGCTGCTTTACTTCAAAAGATTTGACTGGATAACCTGAAGTGACCACTGCTGTGCCACGTGTGTAAAAATGTTCTTAATATGTTGACACTAGGATCCTCCCTGCTGCTGTGTGATGGCTAAGTATTTAATAATAAATATAAAAAACTAATTATTCAATGACATGTAAGCATAATAGGCTAGATTTATTAATCTATTGCTTTCCTAAGCCTCCTGAGTAACCCTTGTCCTGCATGTTTTAGATCTCTCCCTGCTCCAACACAGCTGGTTTAGCTTGTTGTCAGGCAGATTCAGGAGTTCAGTATTTCAGTTCTGACAGTGTGTATTTAATCTACACAGATGAGGGTGTGTTGTGTTTACCTAGTTTGATCAGAGTGATCTTTCCAGGATACTGATTGGTGAGGTCTCTCAGGGCCTGAATGGAACAGAGGGAGACATGGAGAATGAAAGAAACATAGGTGATAAGGGAAGACTGTATGGACAGAGACAGACAGAGAAACTAAAGAAATACTCTGTTCATTAACTAATTTCACAGGTGGTCTAAATTCAGTGACCCCTGCTGGTGTGTCCAAACAAAACATTTACAGTGATTTGGGCCTCGGCAATAAAAATGGAACTGATCAATTTTAGCAGTGATTTAGTATATACTTATTTACTACTTTAATGCAAGCATGATATTAAGTTGTGGACACAGACAAAAACTCATAGCTGCAAAATACATATTAAGATTAATTATATACCATCTAATACATACACAATGTGTCATCATAATTTAATTCAAAATGGAGTTTTTCCTTGCCTCTGTGGCCAAGTGCTTACTCAATGTGGGTATCATTGTGTCTCTGTAAATATTACAAAGAGTACACTAGAGTACTGAACATTTCTTGGTCCTACATCTGTATGGACGTACAGATAAAACTCTTATCTGCCAATGACCTGGAGATGCTGGACTGTTTGATTAAAGCTCCTGTTGTTGCATGAGTAATATTTGGATAATATGTAAATGACAGTCATGATTACGCAACTTACAACTTGTTCACTTGCACTTGACATTCAGAAGAACCACCTAGTCACTGAGGAACCCCTCCAGTGTTTCAATATGCTTGGACCGTGATACTGTCCAGGGTTACACCCACAAGTTTAGTCTCAAAGGTTGCTCTCTATGAGCAACCCAGTCTCCTGAAGATTACATTTATGTAACTAATAAGCAAAGCAAATTAATTATTAGGGAAAAGTTATAAGTGCAAAGTGACAAAATGTTCATTCTGTATGTCTCAACAAAACGTTGACTGACAGCGTATTTCATTGGTTTTCTCTACAACTCTCCTCCAAGAAGAACAATAGCATCAGTTGTTTCACCAAGTTGCTGTTTTATTTATTTATTTTATTTAAATTTTTAATATATTTAAATTTTTCTAACACAAACACACACACGCTTTAATTACTTTACGCTTTAATTACTTGTTTAATGAAATGTATGGGGTTGATTGTTCTTATGTACTTTGTATGATGCTTTGGCAATATTGTTGTTACACATTCATGCCAATAGAGCTAATTTGAATTTTAATCCAAACATGATCTTGATAATTACCACTCTATAATGCTGAAAGTCATCCTCCCTTATGTTTCAACATTCCCTAAAGGTAAAACTGGACCACTGATGTTTCATGCTGTGACTTTTTACCTTGAAACACCTGTGTACCCAGTGAATCAGGGCTGAAAAATGCAACAACAGGTGTCACTGCTTAATTATTACCACTTTAATATCACACTGTTACCCAACTATTGTCATGTTAAATCCTAGCTGTAATGTAAAGCTCAACTAAAAAATATTTTAATAAACTTAGTTAAATTAAGTAGTTAAATTAGGACAACAGCACATAAAAAATCTCTCAGTACTCACAAGTTATTTTTAAGTCATTAAAAAGTCTTCCTCATGTGTTGTGGGTCCATTGCACACAGAGAAACCGTAACTCTTGATCTGTAATTGTCTCACCTCAGCGCTGGTTCCAGCAGGTTCTCTGCAACAGGCATAGATGTGAGCCACCTCTCCTGTCTTCTCTGCCAGCTGTTTCACCAGCTCCAAACCAATGCCTCTGTTGGTCCCAGTCACTAAAATGTTGCCTTCCAGTTTCTCTGACATGTTTGCTGATCAGCTGTCAAACCCCACCAGCTGTCTGACTACACTCTCTTGACAATGACTAAGCATGTGTGAGAGCACAGTGTTGTTGTAATGCTAGTCCTGTGTGCGTCATTGATAGAGGTGTGTACTGTGCAAGAAGGAAGGAGTAAGCCTCTCACCTCTCTGTGTGTATACACAGGACACCTACTGCACATTTGGACCACCTTTAACTTACATTTTATTATACATCATATATATATATCATCTGTCATCTTATCAGCCAGCCAGCACCCTCCCTAAAGTGTCCCTGTTTGACTTGGAGTGACATTTTGTCCTTCTGGGACTCCAGTACTGAGCTTTGTCTGTCAACAGAGTCTTCTCTGGCCCCATAGTCATGCTTTGCTCATGAGCTAACCGCTTATTTGTCCTGACACGTGCTTGCCGTTTTGACAGCGGGAACATTTAAAAATGTGGTAATTCAGGATATACAAGATACCATTTGTCCCCTAAGAGTGAAGTTTGATATTGTCCCACAGAGAATGAGTACATCTGCGATGATGTCAAGACAAGAATATGTGGAAAGTTTGTGGTTAACCGCAGCTGCAGAAATATAAAGTTACCACTTGCCAGAAAGTAAAGAATTGTGCCTCTTCCTGTTTCAGGGACACCATTTTGAGTAAGGACAACCAGACGGAATGTGCTTAAGTATGAAGGTATTTTTGTGTCTTTTTAATTCAAGCAAAAAACGCCAACGCAAACCCATGATTGGTCAGTCAAACCACCAATAGAATCTCTTATTTAGACCTTTTTTGACTCGCAAAACTTTTCAACTTGCAAAACTCTCTCACTTAAAAACCAGTTGAACCTGCAAAACTTTTTGACTTGCAAGTAAAACTTTTTAACTTGCAAAACTTTTAACTTGCAAAACTTTTTAACTTGCAAAACTATTTAACTTGCAAAACGTTCTAACTTTTTACTTGCAAAACTATTTAACTTGCAAAACGTTCTGCCTCGCAAGTAAAACTTTTTAACTTGCAAAACTATTTAACTTGCAAAACGTTCTAACTTTTTAACTTGCTAAACTTATTAACTTGCAAAATTTCTGACTTGCAAGGAAAACTTTTCAACTTGCAAAACTCTCTCACTTGCAAACTGGTTGAACCTGCAAAACTTTCTGACTTGCAAGTAAAACTTTTTAACTTGCAAAACGTTCTAACTTTTTAACTTGCAAAACATTCTGCCTCGCAAGTAAAACTTTTTAGCTTGCTAAACTTATTAACTTGCAAAACTTTCTGACTTGCAAGGAAAACTTTTTAACTTGCAAAACTATTTAACTTGCAAAACGTTCTAACTTTTTAACTTGCAAAACTATTTAACTTGCATGTTCTGCCTCGCAAGGAAAACTTTTTAACTTGCAAACAATAAGGACAAATTAGCAATTAAAACTTTAATGACACAAAAAAAGGCCTGTTTATTTTTAATTACAAACTTAATTTTTGATTGCAGTGTGATAAATATGCTTTTTTGCTTGCATTAAAAAGACACACAAATACCATCATACTTAAGCCTCTCACAATCAGGCAGCAATAGATAGAACACTCATCTTGTCAATCCAAATGCTTGGTTGTTGCAATTTAGTTTACACTAAATTTCAGCTGCATCTTTAAAGCTGCTCCAACTGATATTTTCAGATTAACAATCGCTGAAATGAATGTGTGAAATGTTTAAAGAACTGCTCACACAAACCCACAGATAAAGATCACCAATTCTATCTCTCCTCAGCTCTATACAGCCCACAACTTTGTAGTTTTGGTTCACTCTCAGCTTTCACCAACCTTGTTTCCAGCAGCAGCAGGCAGTTGTTTTCAGTGAAAACCTTCTGTAGGGATCTTCCCATCAAAAATTAATTTGAGCTCTCCACTTTGGGTGTATATAATTTCTTATACCATGGTGGAACCCTAAATTCCATGATAATTCTTTTTCTGGCATCCTCTCTTTATTTATAACATTCTTTTTAAATCAATGGCACATCCTTCCTATTATTCCCTCATTGTCTCATCCCCTCCCTGTGCTCAAAATCCCCAAGGCTCTGCACAGCGGCGTAGAGTACACCACCAAACATACAGATACAAAAATAAATATAACAACACACGAATATGAAAAACACACCAATCAAGGGAAAATGCTTTTTAAAGAGACATCTTGGTATTCTAATACAAATAGACACTGGCTTTCCATAAATTCTATTATGGTGACCAAGTTTTATTTTGTATTTGCTCTAGCTCAGCTGGTAATATGGACAGCACTTGTTTCACCTGGTGTTTAAGATTATCAGAATCAGGAAAGGTACAAGGTAGATTTATTTGTCACAATAAAAAAACAGGTTATATATTGAAATTTAGTTTGTAACTCCCTTCTGCTACATAGCACACAATGTACATTAATATAAAAGTCAATATAAAAATAAATAATGATAATAAACAGAATTAAACTAAATTCAATGGAGCAGTGCTGAGGATGAATTAGAGTTTAAGAGTCTGATACCTTGGGGGGAAAAGCTGCTCTGCAGTCTGGTGGTGCGGCAGCAGAAACTCCTATATCTCTACCCAGAATGCAGCGGGGTGAACAGGCTGTGTCTGGGTGGGTACTGTCCTTTAGTATCCTTTTAAAAGAATATTTATAAATAGCATGCTGGGACTGGGTTCAAATGTCTCCATGTATACAGTATGTGTATAAGCCTAAAACATAACTGCAGGAATCAGCATGACCAAAACAGCCCAGTCAGCAGGCCTATCTGTGTTTCACCATTCCTCTGACGGATATTCCCTCATTTACATCCCCCACCTTTATTTAATCAGATCATCTCATTGAGATCCAGAGAGAGCTGAGTGCAGCAGATAGAAAGAAACACCAACACGGCCAGACATACAGCATCAGAGACAGTCACACACACACCACTACATGGATCTGAAGATGAGAGTTTATATTCTGTCACTTGGTCTTATGGAAATGGTGGTGGACAGCGTTGTCGTACACAATGATCCAAAATTTTCATACTCACCAAACCATTCATTGAGCCCTACTGCGCAAAGCATCAGCATTTGATATTTCTCAAATCTTTTATTCAGCTTTTTCCCTTAATCTGATGGCCCCATTTGCATGTCCCAGATAGCTGCAGTCAATCATAAGTCACCACATGGACCAGAGTCAGTCATCATATTCAGTTACAGTATGTTCACTACTTTAACTTTCCAACAAAAGTCCAATAGATCACATTTTTATGTGGCAAAAGTCTACATGGATGAGACAGTAACCTCTTAATCTTTAAAATGAACAGCGTGTGAAACCATGTAAAATCATTGATTTTTCCTCATCACCTTTTCTCTGAAAATAAGGAGCAAAGTCCATGTGTGTTCAAAGTTGCAACACTTACCAGTTTAGTGTCATCATGAGCTAAAACAGTGCCCAGCTCAAACTCTAAAGAAAAAGATGGTTTGCTTGATCCAAGTAAGAGGAACAGGTGCCCTAAGTTAAGGAGTTTAGTACAAAACCCCTTTGTGTGTCCTGGAAAGTGTTTTCATGATGAGCATTGGTAGCGGGATATATCATTATATAATATATATGACAACACTGCACAGCGGTTTAAAATACCATGTGAAAGGTTTTTAAAGGCATGGGAATTATGACTCTTGTCTGTTGGTAGAGGAGGAAATAGTGTGACATTATTAAAGATACACACAGCCTGCAGCAGGAGGTCAGGGTGGATCGTTGTGTCAGCACAATGTTGGGAATTGACTGCTGTTCACTTCCTCTTTCCTACCAAAGGTCAATGCTGTTTTTTTTAACCATGACCTCAGTGTTTCCTTAACCGTAACCAAGTTATTTGAACCCAAACCATGATGGAACCAAGTTTTTTTGTGCCTATAACCAACCAAACCTTCACCACAACATTGTCAAAAGTTTTAATGAACAGTTATTTGTAACAGTTTTGGAAGGTACTCGGAAATGATCTCGTCCTGCTGATGAAGGTGTCAGATATGTCTTACACACAAGGCAATCTGGAAAGTGATGATCGTTTAGCCTCTCTTGATGAACTCCAGGCTTTAGCAGAGTGAGCAAGATTGTGTGTCTTGAGTGTGGCAAAAAGGAAAAAGTCAGACTCCGCCCACATCTGTCTGAAGAGCCCCCACCACTGCCATGAGGGTCTCATTTCATGCACAAACAGAACCAGCGTGGACACTGTTCATTTGTTTTGTTGTTGATTCTAACAGGGCCTTGCCATACAGGGTTGGATAGTACCTCATTATAAGTAACACAAAAGAGTAAAACAGTCATTTTTTAACAAGCTTGACATTTCACATTCATTTTTAAAACTTTTTTTACTCTTTACTCAAGTATTATTGGGCCAATAATGTCATTACATAGAACATCGCCGGTGAAACTGATCTTGGCTTTCACTCAGTAGGCTACCAGCTGTGTATTTATTCAGGAAAGAAGTTTTTGAGGAGAAGGCAGAGAGTAAATATGGGTGGATGAAACTGTTCTGTTGGGCTTTACACGTGAACAGATACAGGCAGCGATAGTACGCTTGGCAGCTAACAAGAAGTGATGTTCACAATACCTTCATGTAGATTAGTAAAATAATTGTATATATTTTTGATTAATTGTATAAAGAAATAGGTAAATTATAATAAACAGCAAAGCGGATTCCCTAGAAATAAGCATGTTGCACAGCAGATGAAACACTTATCATTCCAAAAAGAGACTTGAGACTTGACTTGGACTGTAAAATGACTTGTGAAGATCTCTGGCTTGCACCCAATAAACAATAATGAAACACTACGTAACTTGTACTTTCAGTACTTTCTTTTATAATTTTACTGGTTTGTCAAACAGTACTTGTTACAACCCAAGGGTTGTATATTTGTTGTGGTGTGTGTTCCTTCTTTCTCTGCTCTCTCTCAGTTGCCCTTCCCCCTTGCCTCTCCTACATGAGTGGCAGCAGGTGTGCCTGATCACCACTCAGTGCCTGGAGGTTAAGTAGGCTTGGGATAGCACAGCAGTTGTCTTGAGATCACAGTGCAGAACAGATTAGGATCTGCAATTCAGTGAGCAGAGCGTTGTCATCCAGCCAGCTCAACGGACAGTGGACGGGACAGCTGATGGTTTGGCCAGTGGGCTGAACAAC